TTTGTGTATGTCTATTATTAATATTATCATTTCCAAAATTCACCTGGTAGTTATAGATTTTTTGATTTTATAAGTTTTTTTTATTTGTTTTAGCTGTTTATGTTTTAAATGAAAGGTTGGATATGTAAGATAGATTCCATAAACCTAAACCACGCGTGAAGACTAAAAATGCAAATTCTAAAGATTGTTGATCTATATTTTTATTTCTTACCCTATCCAAACCTATTCATCTTGGTTGGATTTGATCCACACAGAAGAAAAGAAGCTGCTTAAGGTGTTCCTGAACCTGAACTACCTTGCCTTCCACCATTGTAGAAAAAACTACCACTTCATATTCATTTGGCGATTTGCAATTTTATGTAGTTTACGATGAATTTTCTTTTTTTTGTGTCTTATTAGCATATTCAAATAATATTGTTCTATAATATCGCGTTAAAAAGGGATGTGATTTTCACAAATTATGTTTTTCTTCTTATCTTTTAACTGTATGGACACAAACGAACATATGAAAATACCGAAATCAAATTCACTGGCATTAGTAAATTTTTGCTTATATTGGGATTGTCCAGAAGCCCCATCACAACCCCATTTTCCTATAAGTTCCAATTTTTTTAAATGTCTTTTTTTTATTCCAAAATTCTTTTATATATTTATATATATATATATATATATATATTAGGGTGTCCCTTATTTTTATTTTTTTTGCGCATACCCTCTAATTATATTTATTACTTGTTTATATACTACCAGTAAAAATTTCAGCTCATTCTATAAAGGGGAACCCGTGCCAACTTGCATCTAAACCCTCCGTTAGCCAACGTTAGGCGCGCGCGGTATTTTGTAACACGAAACACTTTAAAAAGAAGATATACTTCATGACTGTATTTTTCTAATGATTTTATTAAATATGATTACTAATTAATATTATTGCTTTTGTTTCTATTATTTGTTTCACTAATTTAGTTGATTTTATCCCTTAAATATATTAATATACTAATTAGTATTGCTAAAATATACTGTTATATGAAATTTCAGCTTTTTATAAGCATTTCTTTTCTTGATGTCCTCACAAAAATATTTCAGACAGTTCAATAAGTTTTCGGTAGTCATCTCTCACAATAGACTCTTTTAGTTATTTAGAGTAAAACCCATTAAGTTTATCAATTTCAGAGTTTACGGCCTATTCACCAGACCCTTCCGGGTAACTAGCCACTCCCTGTGAAAATATACATTTTTATCAAAGTATACACATAAATAAAACTATATTTTAACATTTGTCAATAATTTATAATATAAGGGTCACATAATAACAAACACAAAATGACTTACGATCGAAGACCTAGCGACCAACCGTGTTACAAAATACCGCGCGCCTAACGTTGTCTAACGGAGGATTCAGATGCAAGTCGGCACGGGTTCCCGTTTATAGAATGAGCTGAAATTTTTACTGGGAGTATATAAACACGTAATAAATATAATTAGAGGGTATGCGTAAAAATAATAAAAATAAGGGACACCCTAATATACATATATATGTATTAGGGTGTGCCAAAAAAACTCGATATTTTTTTTTTCTTGCTCTCCACCCAAAATATCGTAGAATATGTCCGAACAAATATTCTGTTAAAAGCGGAGCTCATAATTTCAATTTTAAGAGGTCCCTCATCGAATCTGAAGTTTTGCCGCTTAAATAACACAGAAAACTGATTTTTTTACCTTATTTATTCTTGCAACATAGGAAGATTTTTTTTTTTTGTAAAATCCATGACTAATTTTTACAAAGCATTAAATTTGGACAAAAAAATCTTATTAAGCCGAATTTCTATTTTCATTATTTAATTTTTTACATAGCTTTAAATTTAAAGATAATAATACAAAAATGATGACTTTATACGCCTGTAACTTTTAGAATATTGACGATATAAAAAATTCGCCTAAAACTTTTTTGTGGTCCATCAGACAAGCTAAAAAATTACCATTTGACTTTTTCGTCTAACTTCAATAGTTTAGCTGAAAAAGGCAAAAAACGTAAAATTTTAAATTTAAAGCTCTGTAAAAAATTAAATAATGAAAATAGAAATTCGGCTTAATAAGATTTTTTCGTCCAAGTTTAATGCTTTGTAAGATTTGGTCATGGATTTTATGAAAAAAAATTTCTTCCTAGGTTGCAAGAATAAATAAGGTAAAAAGGTCAGTTTTCTGTGCTATTTAAGCGGCAAAACTTCAGATTCGATGAGGGACCTCTTAAAATTGAAATTATGAGCTCCGCTTTTAACAGAATATTTGTTCGGACATATTCTACGATATTTTGGGTGGGGAGCAAGAAAAAAACTATTTCGAGTTTTTTTGGCACACCCTAATATGTATATATATATCCACACGAGCAATCCTTTGTTGTTCTAAAAATGTATCCACCTTTTTGGATAAAGTTTTATCAATGTTTGTATCAGAAATATTATCGGGTTTTTAACGTTGGGTAAATTTACAAAATAATATTCATTAGCTATATTTATTAATTTTTAAAACCTACCTATCATTATCTTTTTTAATTTTAAGAGGATTTTACCTATTTTTTTTTTATTTCTATGACATCTGGGGGCATCCATTACGTGAGGCAATTTTGGCGATTTTTTCATCAAATTACCACTATTATTAATTACACAGGGTCGTGTACTTTTCGATGTTCCAAACTTAATTTAACCAGTTTTCTCGCAATTCGAAAAAAAATTATGTTCCAAACGTAATTAATGGATGCCCCACCTTCAGCATATCCTCCTTATTAAAACTTTACCCCCTATCTTTTATAATAAATATACCCAACAATAATGTAAAAATGTAAAAATTAATTACTCCATTTTTAATGTTTTAATTTAAATCCCTACAAATAAAATAGTAGAATTTCTTATTTTAATAAAGACATTTATTATTATTATTTTTATATACCTAACAATTCTTGCATTCCTTAATTTACAAAAATACAAAGTAAATCGGCCTATTTTTTACTAATATCACTAAATTTTTTTACAATAATTTATTGTTTTTTTAGTTTTATAGTTACATAAATTTTAAATTTAATAATTTTAAAGAAAAAATAATAGTTATAACTAATTCTAAACTTTGTCAACTTTAAGTCTATAGATTTATATACAAGGTGTCCCTAAACTTAGTGGCATAAATTTAGGAGCAGATTAAGCAAGTCAGGGTGATAAAGTGTTACCTATCATATCAGTTTTTTTAATATAACTTCTACTCTGGTAGTCTTGGAAAGGTGATATTTTGCGAAGAGTCACTTACTACCAAAACACATATTCACACATAATTTCAATTGTTTGAGTGAACACAGTGTCGTAGAAACGGGGGTTGCTTTAAGCTTATTGTCCCATACAAACTTTGAGGTTAGGTTTTTATAACATTTGATACAATTTTTCGATTACACAGTTCGTCTACCATTAAAAAGGTGTACCTCTCAAACTTCGATAAAATAAACCGTTTCCGAGATATTCGAGATTACAATAATTGTTATATCGCATTATTTAAAAGGAATAAAAGGTATATGATAACAAATTTTATTTTTTAATTGAAAAACCTAAAAAACGGCATTCCATGAGCCTCGAGACTTTAAGCCCTGACCGTCACATTAAAAAAATTGTAGTTTTTTCAATTAAAAAATTTGTTATCATAATATACTATATTATACCTTTAATGCGATATAACAATTATTGTAATCTCGGATATCTCGGAAACGGTTTATTTTATCGAAGTTTGAGAGGTATACCTTTTTAATAGTAGACAAACTGAGTAATCGAAAAAATGCATCAAATGGTATAAAAACCTAACCTCAAAGTTTGTATGGGACAATAAGCTTAAGCAACCCCTGTTTCTACGACACTGCGTTCACTCGAACAATTGTTATTATGTGTGAATATGTATTTTGGTAGTAAGTGACTGTTGTCAAAATATCACCTTTCCACGTCTACCATAGTGGAAGTTATATTAAAAAAACTTATATGATAAGTAAACTTTATCACCCTGTACCTTTTAAACATACATAATTAGGAAAAATATTTATTTAGATTTTCGTCTTATTTTGACTTGCTTAATCTGCTTCCAAATTTATGCCACTAAGTTTAGGGACACCTTGTATAACTTTGTATTGGTGAAATTTTCAAAATTTTATAAACACGTAAAATTTTATTGTTTTTTTTTTCTTTAAGATTATCAATTTAGATTTTCTCTAATGCAAAAAGGCGATTCTGATCCACCGTGCTACGGAGTGGGAAAAGTTGTGTTTCTTGGTAAATAATGTTTTTTTTTAATATGAAATTATCCTTAAAAATTTAAGGTGGCATGGTTTATGACTTATTTCAAACTTTAGTTTTTTTCATCTAACCTGTATTTTATTTGCGATTTAGAACTAATTTTAATAGAATCTGATCTTATAAGTATATTATTTTAAACTTTGATCAGTTGACAATTGCATGTAAAAATAAAATAAAATACTTTTCGCAACATATGAATTTGGGTCGCTCTATATTTTCATTACCAGGTACTTTTTTGCCCTTAGACAAAGAAAGAGAGTGGATGCGTAATCAGAACGTTGAAAAGTTTAAAAACTGAATGAACTTTTAAGTTTTATGCATAATTTAATAACTATATAATTCATGCATAATTTAATAATTCTTATATATGAGATCTTTCTAATTGAGGAAAGCGTGTAGAAGTTTAAAGAAAGATAATATATTTTGTTTGTATATTTAAAATAAAGTAAATGTATTAACCTTCAGGGAATTTCCATTAGTTTAAGATTTTTATAAATTAAACACACCCGTGCTCACCCTGAGGTTGGGAGTTCATCTTTGTATGTCAGAGGCACAAAAAACGGTTTTAAAAACTATAACAAATTATAGGTGGGTTCGACAAATATTAAAAAAATACATTTTACATCTACAAATAGTTCTAACATTAGTAAAAACGTACGGTTTTGACATTATTTGTTTTAGTTCTACAAAGAGGATGCTGTACGAGCAGGAACGTTTTATGGTACTTGGTATTTTTTGGATTTGCTGTAAATTATATGGTTAGAATGAATTTAAACATTGCTATTGTGTCCATGATAAAAGCAAGGCCGAAAAATAATGTGACAATATCCAGCGAGTGCTTGGTAAACAAACTAAATGGAACTTTAATGACAGCTCAAAATAATAACTTATTAAATCACACCACTGAATCTTCGTTATTTTACAATACAGAATCTAACACACCCAGTATTGTTAACATGCCTTCAAAAAAAGAAGACAAAAAATTTGACTGGGACGAGAAAATCCAATCAAAAATATTAGGCAGTTTCTTCTGGGTGCATTGGGTACTTCAGATTCCTGGAGGAATATTAGCGTCGAAATATGGGACTAAATTAGTATTTGGTTTGTCAAATTTTATTGGAGTTATACTGTGCTTTTTTATACCATGGTTTGCAAATATGGGACCTATATACCTAATTACTTTTAGATGTCTCCAAGGATTTATAATGGTAATAATATCATATTTATTAACCCTAAAACCAATGAACATACTTAAAATACTATCAAGCTATAACAAAACCATTTAAATCTCTACCTGCCAGCAGTGTTTTGAGTGTAGTACTCTCCAGAGTGGGTCTAGCGTACATGGCCAAGACAATGTCTTTCGTCAAAATCAATACGTAAAATATAAAAATTTTTCATTTCGTTACGTGCCGTCACCCCATTAGCGCCTGAAATGTTTTTTTTTAATTTTTAACTATTTTTATTATGTACTTGGTAAACCAGTGTTATAAAAAACCAAACACATTAATAAATTTTTTTGTATGACTTTTTGCTGTTACTATATGACTAGGCGCTAGGCGCTTATACTACCAAATGTATCTGGCTTTAAAAAACAGACAAAAACGTTTAAAGCGCCTCTTGTATTGTAAAAATATACCTTTAATCTTATACAATTATTATTATTTTTGTAATGCGACAAAGAAAAAAAAATTAAAATACAATTATTAACGAGAATGAAATGGAACAAAGCAATCAGCACATAATCCAACATTACATTTGGAGCACATCGTTCTTATAATTGATTTACATGTACTACGAGCACATCTTCTTTTCTTCTTGTTCTCAGTATGTTGAACAAAATGATCCCTTCGATCAAATCTTATGGAATCTGATATGCGGCTATCCGCCGAAGATGCGGGTGATGATGAAGGCCTTCCCGCTTCTTTGGGTAGGTTCTAGAATTTTCTCAAATATAAATTGGCCACCTCCCTTTTAAATTCCAGCTCTGATTTATTTTTCTTTCCTGTTTTGTTGTATAAAATCCAAATATTATGAACGGCTACATCTAACATCCACGAAAAGATGGGCCAATGCCACTTTTTCCCACGAATTTCTACGCGATAGCAGTCAATATTTTGATCCATCTGATCAGTTCCACCCATATAAGAATTGTATTTTGCAATCACTTTTGGTCTTGGTATCATTATATTACGCTTTAGCTGTTTTAAATATCTTTTGACTTGACTAATTTCTTGCGTGCCGCAAGACGTTGAAATCATAGTAACACCGCGGTGGATTAGTGGACGGTGGACTAGTGGTTAGTGCTGCCGGAGGTCGTGGGTTCGACTCCCACCAGGGGTATGGCTGTTTATTTGTGTTTGTACTATAAAAATATAAATATCGTCTTTCTTTTTTCAAAAACATTTTTTTTACTAGTCAACGGACAATATCTTTGTATTTGTATTCGATTTTCTCTAATATTTCCAATTGCTTTATTACCACGAGACCTTAGAAATGAAAATAGAGCTGCACCAGAGAATAAATTATCCATGTAAAGATTAAATCTCAATTCTCTTTTCTCTTCTGGCGTTTCATCTAACATAACCAGTAGGGGACTAGCAGCTTTTCCAAACCATTTCTCGTAGTCGGTAATCGCCTTTGGACCTTTACCTTGGTATAGTTCATAATTGACTTAATAACCATCTGTAGTAGTAAGGCTCCAAATTTTGGGTTTTCCCCATATGAATCCATGTCTTCCAAAATATTTTACCATTCTCCCATCATATGCTAGGTGCTCTTCGGGTATAAAGTTCTCCATACATTTTTTAGCATCTCCATAATAGGACGTATTTTAGAAGTCTTATCATTAGGGTCGATTTTGGTGTTATCTGCACAGTGTAAAAATCGGTAGTTTGTAAAAATCGGTCTCTTCTCCTCGACTTTGCCACGGCGTCGTTTTTCATATCCTCACTTGAATCCCAATAATGCCGTTTAGAAGGGAAGTTGTTGTGCCCACTAACATATAAAATGGCTATAAAACAGCGAATTTCGTCTGCTGTTATCTTCGGATCAGCGCAATTCAAAAACAGTGCGTATCGTTTAGTTTCCTGTACCAAATGTTGAATTAATTCAGAGTCTATAAATTGTTCAAATATTTCAACATATTTTTATATTTGGAATAATCGGGTAAAGGAAATGTAGAAGTCTTTTCTAGGTCAAAATCTGCACCCTTCACCCACCTAGATTCTAATTTTTTTTTTGCCTTTCGGCTATCCACAATTTAAACTTTTCTGTCATAACAAGTGGCTGAGCAGCAGGATAATCACGAATAACGGATGGACCCGGTATAGGTATCGCATTTGGTGTTTCTTCTTCTTTTGTGTAGCTAACACTAATTCTTTCGTTATTCGGCAGTTTTATTTCGGCATTAGCTATTAGTTATCTAGATGTAAGGTTATCAAATAGCATGTAAAAAAAATCACGATCACGATGTATTTTTATCCCTACAAGTTCATGTTGGCTTACCCTCCTTCGTCTTCACCTCCGGAATCCTCGTCTATATCTACATTAGGTTCTGGTGGCTCCACGTAAATATCCGATATCATCGTTATACACCATATCCAATAGGGTGGAGTGAATTTTATTAAATTTATTAATTGATTTTTCCTATATTATTAATTGTTGACTAAAGGCGTAAAATGAATAAATATCGAAAAAATATTCCAATTTTTTAATATCTTGAGGTGGCGCATCTGTCTCGAAGTTTTGAAAATTCTAAAAAAATATTACTTTAATCAAAGTAATAAAAATAGCATTATTTATAAATAAAAAGTTTATTTTAGTAAAATTAACGTGAAACGTAAACATATTTAATAGTAAATCATATGCTTTAAGTAACTTCAGGAGTGTTTATTGGTAGAAATGAGATCTTCTTTTTCGCGAAAATACTGACATTTGGTATCAAAATTTGGTAATTATTTTCTGACTTTAATTCTTGTTCTGATGAAACCATTTCTTGCTTCCGATCCACAAACCGAGACTGAAGATTCAGTATACTGGTTATAACCAGTTTTACACAGCGTTCCACTGCTTGGGTGTGACACTGAAATTTTTGGAAGTGTAGGAAATGGTCACCCGAAGAAATCATATCGGTAATTTCTGTCATCGTATTTCATAGTCATTGGTGGTTCAGTCACCTTTTCTGTCGCCCAGTGAATTAACTGGTACAAACGTAATGCTTCAGTATTTAGTTGTGAAAGCTTTAATTCCCGTAATCTCGAACATTTTGATTCTTTTCTCGCCTTTAATATTTTCGGCAATACTAGTTCTCTGATCGATAGATATATTGTAGGTAACATAGCAAGTAATAGGTTTTCGGGATAAATATTTCGCTGAATATTCTTTATAACTATAGATATAAGGCCTTCAAGTTTTTCTGGAGGTGTAATGCTCTTTTAGTCAAATTAAATATGTGAATAGGACCATGTTTGCACGTAGGCTTGCTGTTGATGTAAAACCACGTTGGGGCATACACTTTCATGATAAAAGTAGCCAATTCTTTTAGGTTTTCCGATGGATTTGCTGTCCCCCCATATAAACGAATAATCCTATTAGCCCACGTCAGCCATAGGGAATGTGCTAGCTTGCCTGGATCTTTGTAAGCTATAGCTAATATTTATCCCGAAAACCTATTACTAGCTATGTTACCTACAATATATCTATCGATCAGAGAACTAGCATTGCCGAAAATATTAAAGGCGAGAAAAGAATCAAAATGTTCGAGATTACGGGAATTAAAGCTTCCACAACTAAATACTGAAGCATTACATTTTTACGAGTTAATTCACTGGGCGACAGAAAAGGTAACTGAACCACCTATGACTATGAAATACGATGACAGAAATTACCGATATGATTTCTTCGGGTGACCATTTCCTATACTTCCAAAAATTTCCGTATCACACCCAAGCAGTGGAACGCTGTGTAAAACTGGTTATAACCAGTATACTGAATCTTCAGTCTCGGTTTGTGGATCGGAAGCAAGAGATGGTTTCATCAGAACAAGAATTAAAGTCAGAAAATAATTACCAAATTTTTATACCAAATGTCAGTATTTTCGCGAAAAAGAAGATCTCATTTCTACCAATAAACACTCCTGAAGTTACTTAAAGCATATGATTTACTATTAAATATGTTTACGTTTCACGTTAAATTTACTAAAATAAACTTTTTATGTATAAATAATGCTATTTTTATTACTTTGATTAAAGTAATATTTTTTTAGAATTTTCAAAACTTCGAGACTGATGCGCCACCTCAAGATATTAAAAAATTGGAATATTTTTTCGATATTTATTCATTTTACGCCTTTAGTCAACAATTAATAATATAGGAAAAATCAATTAATAAATTTAATAAAATTCACTCCACCCTAATATCCAATCGGTCAACGAAAAACTCTTCTGGAAATAAAAGTTCAAATTGCCTTATAACTGAGTAAAAACGCCTAGTGTTTCCATATGGCAAAGTAATTTTATAATTTCATCGAACTGCGACTGTTTTATTTTATTCTTATTTTATTATTACTTCCAAAATACTAATTAATTTTATAAGAGAAGTGATGAACTCTATTCTGTTGTTAAAAATGAAATGTTTTATAAATTTATCGTAAAAACGTTTCTATGATCAACACAATAAAACTAATACAAAAGTCAAACCTATAAAATAAAATTGTTTTATAATTGTTTTTAGTAAATTTTGGCGATATTATTAAGACTCTTATAAATATATTATAAAACTATTTTATAGTCGCATTTTATAGCTGTAATAAAACAATTATATTAAAGTATCAATGATAACTATTTCGTTTCTTCAAGTAAAGTGTTTCTTTAGTAATCAATATAAAACTGCTTTATATTATGTTATTTGGGTTACAATATAAAAGCAATAACAAAGTTCTTATAAAACTAAATAGTTATCATTTTGATATCGCTAATTACAATAAAACAAATTTATGTTGAATTAGCTGATGTGGAGTACATAATTTTCATTAGTTCAGTGTGTTCAATGTTTCATAAACAAAAATGTCGCAATTATCGCAGTGAAAAAAAAATAAGAAAAGTGGCGCCTGATGCACAGAAGATGAAAAAGATGTTACGAAAAAATTATCAGTAGTGATAATAAGGATTCCAGTTTCGACAATAATAAAACGGATCATTTAAACATA